AGTATCCTTCCCACCACTGTGTCTGCTCTAGCCAAGCCCCTGTCTTTCTTTTGTGCTCTAAACCCCAGCTTTCTTCTTAAACGTGAAGAAGAACCCATGTTTCAGTATCTCCCCCAGAGCCCTGCACTCCTCAACACCCTGCTGGAACTGAGGCCAATATGCCAAGGTGGGTCCCCTTACTCTTTGACAACCCAGCATGAAATATTTGAGAACAGCTGTCAGGATTGCATGCTTGGGAGCAAAGACTTAATGGAAAAAAAAGGTTACTAAATTAATAGAGATGTTCCTCCTTTCATCCTAGAAAATTGTATTTCCTGTTCCTTTTGGCATTTTTTTTTTTTCAGGCTAAGGTGAGGAAAAACAGTGATAGGAAGGAACAACACAAAGACCTTGCGAATGCACTCACGGCATACACCGCTGTTTTAAGATAAGCCATGCAGTCCAGGAGCACAAAATGACCTCCCTTTCACGTCTCCAGACACAAGCCTTAGACAGGAGGAGAAATGGTGTATGACACACAAAATGCATAGCCATGTCATGTCTACATGCTAGGAAGGGATGGTGCCCTTCCACAAACCAGCTTCTGAGAAAAGATGGGTTCTTGCTGCCACAGCCATTTTTTGCAATGTCTGTTTCAAATTGGTCTGGAGAAAAAAATGAGCCTCTCAGGTTTTCCTGCACCTGTCCTTCCCAAGGAATCAGAACTTGAGCTGGCAGTCTGACACACTGTGCCTACCTCCTTTTCCCACTTCAGGGAGGGTGTAGTCATACTCCACATCCCAGTGGTGTGGTATGAGTGCATGTGGTGTGCATCCCCAAACATATCCCCATGCACTGTGGGGAGACAAATGCATCTGACCACTCAAACTAAAGCAACCCTAAGTTTGCTTCTTATTCCAACAGGCTGCAGGTCTGTCCCAGCCTCAAGCATACATCCACTGGATTGCACAGTGCTCCTACGCTGGCATTGAGCTGAATCCTGCACTCAGGGTTATCAGTGCCTTCTCCAATGACAGCGGGTGCCTTGGACAAGGAAGGAAGTGTAGTCACCTGTCCATCCAACCTTCTCTTGGGTCTGGACCAGTTTTTGTAGCCTGATGCCTGGTTGTTTTACCAAGCAGAACCCCATCTACTATTTGTAAACTTAGCAGGCAGATAGACCCTTAGGTTGGTCTCCCAAATATCCCATTTATACCAGTATTTTATAACTCCACTTATGCTCCTGGTGAAAGGTGACAGATCCAAAGTGTAGAGGCACCTTTGCTGGTTTGGCAGGCCTTCCTCTGCTGGCATGGAGATTGTGACCCTGCCTTCAGAATGCACAACAACGGGTTTCCTCATCCCTTTGCATCCTGTTTTTCATGCCTCCCACCCACCCCAGGACCTGTTTATGCTTTACTCACACAGTGGGGATGTATTCTCCTGGGAAGGCATTGGTGGTGTAGCTGATAAGGAGACAGGTTTTCCCCACAGCTCTGGAAGAGAAAGAAAAAATAGCAGGTAGTGGTAGTGCAGGCAGTCTTGCTAGGGTGAGATGGAGAAGGGCCACACCTCTAAGCTAGCCCTGTCAGAAGACCCCTGAAAGCATTCAGGGGAATGTCAGAAAGACATTCACAGGACCAGACAGTACATAACCATAGGTTAGACAACTGGCAGGAAGAAAGACAGGATGTCACACAGAAATGTTTGTTGTCTTCAAGCACAAAGGCTTGTTTTTATGGTCTGGTACAGAGATCACTCAGCTAAAATGCATCCACTCTGAGATGGAGGTGAGAGCCCATTTTCCAGTGCGTGCACAGTGCTATGTGCTCACAGCCAGGGAGGTGTATTGATTCAGTGTAGGAATGCCATGACAAAGCTGCCCAGCCAACTACAGCCCCTGAACACAGGCACTCCTGCCTGCTTCTGCAGGAGCTGTGGCCAGGGGCTGATAGCACCTCTTCTTGACTTACCCACAACACCTTCCAGTCTCGTCTGTCTGCAGTAAGCTGCAGCATCACCTGCAGAGACCAGGTAAGCAGCCAGCAAGGTGCCTCTCCCTGTGGCTGACGGAGGCTGCTGGTGGTGTTTCTGAGCTAGAAGCTGGTGCTTCCTCTCTCCTCAGCCTCCCCCAACACCCATGCTGCAGCAGGGTGGTGCGCAAATAAGTCAGGGTAGCAGCACAGTCCAGACTGGGTGAGAGCATTGGTGTGAGGGAGTTGGGAAAGGGGGCAGTAAGGCTATCAAGGGGAGGAGAAGGTGCCACAGGCAAGGTGAAGCCTGTGGTGAGGGAAAGAAGTGGAGAGAAAGTGGAAGAAGATAAAGTGGCCAGGACAGGTGTGGGAAGGAGAATCCTTCTCCTGCTGGGCTGCTATTTCTCAGGTCTGTGTGGCCTGGGAAAGTCTGGCCATGTTTCAGTTACAGCATGTGTAAAATGGAGCTGGTGAGAGCAACCTGCCTCTTCAGCCTATGAGCAAAGCCACGGGATGAGGGAGATGTCTTTCCTGGGGGAAAGGCTGGAGTCCCGCTGCTGAGAATGCACTAACCATCTCAGCTGTACCTGCAAAGTCCCCTGTTGCAGAGCTGCAGCCCTGCCTTTTTGTGTGCCCTTGACAGGCGCAGCTGGCATCTTTGCCCTGGTCACGAGGCACCTGCCTCGGTCCCTGTAGTGTGGGGCAGCTGGGGAGGAAACTGAGCTCTTCAGTTTCCTGAGCTCTGACACTTGTTTCTTCCTTCTGCCACCTCCCTTTCTTAGATCCTCCTCTGTCAGTCCCTTCTCTTTCCCCAGCTCCCTTACTTCCCTCTTATCATAGGGATATTGAGGGAGGGCCATGGAGGCTTCCTGAAGCTCTACAGGTAATGGCTCAGGACATCTACAGAACTATGGGTGGGTCAGTCATGGAAGGGTGGACAGTTCTGAATTAGTGTGGTTGAACAGAGAGGAGCACAAAGGGTCAGTGAAGGGCTGAAGGTTACAACAAAACTATTGAGAGAAGACGTGAGGTTAGTGGCACCTGCAGGTTTCTGGGACTGAACTCAGGGAGTGTTAAGAGGTCAGTGATGTGTGATGGAGGGGCCTATGGGGCCAGAACAGCTATGGGGCAACATGAGGCGCTTAGCTGAGTGACAGCAGAAGGTCCTGTGGTTGGTAAGTTTGACCCAAGGGAGGATGACATGGCTGGTATGGCTGGAAGGGAGGTGAACAGTGGTGAACCAAGAGCTCAGAGCGATGGGGATGATGGGACTGCTGTGTTGCAAGATGGTGAGAGGGGAGGTGCGGTGTACAGAGAAGCAAAATGACAGGACAGAAGACATTTAAGGATTTGTGGTCAGAGGGGTTGAGAGCAGGACGTGTTGTGGGGTTAGCCATGATATGAGGGGAATGATGCCTTGAGGGATGGCTACAGAGTTGGTGCAATGTATGAGGGGAAACAGGGGCATTAACAGGGCAACAGATAAATGTCCAGTGGAGTTCATCCAGCTCTAGCTTGCAGCCTTCGGGGGACTTTTCTTAGAGGTAACAGTGTTTATTTGGGGCTCTGTCCTTCCCTGTCCCTTCTCCCTGTCCTCTTGCCCCAGCCCCTGAGAATATGTCTAACGTACTGTTATGTTTGCAGACATCTTCTTCCCCAGGCGAGTTTTGAAGGAGGAAGTGACTGTGGGGAGCAGGGCTGCTGCAAATGTCTCTTCATCTGCTACCTGATAGTTGCCCCAGATAACAGTCTGGCCAGCTCCTAGCTGGGAAATGAATTAACCTACTCTGTGCCAAATGTGGACTCTCCTCCCCTCCCTCCCCTGCATCTACTCATCCCACAGGGCAAGAAGAGGCCCTGTTCACCCCATCCCTCCCACCCCCAGCAGTACTGACTGCTTCACTTATTGATGGCTTAGATCGGGTCATTTCCAGGGAACACAGGACACGGGCAGTGAGGTCATCATGCTGTGAAGGCAAGGTTGTGTCACCTTCCACTCCCAAAGTGACATATACTTATGCCTATCTCAGTGGAAAGAGGCCCTCCTGCTTGTGCCCACAGAAACCCCTTGCCAACAGTATCCCCCACACCCCAATACAGAGATAATGTGCCAAGAAAAGTTGAACACAGATATAATGGCAGACATCTCATCAGGACCGTAGTGCCGTGCCCTCTCCCAGTCAGTCCCAGTGAGCAGATGGCTTTCAAGGAGGCATTCACCTGCAGGAGAGTGCTTGCACCTCTCAGGTTTTAAATCTGACTCCTGCCTACAGGTTGAATCTGGCAGCAACACCACCACCTCCTGTGCATGGGACAGACCTGCTCCACTTTCCATGCCCCTTTTGCAGATGCCCTTCAAAATGCCCTCTTCCACACCCTCCCCAGAGGAATGTCTCTTGCCCTGGGGGTGGAAGAGCGAGCGAGAGAGGGAACGCAGTCTGCCCGAGGTCAGAAGCAAAGCTGGGGAAGTTTCACCAAGCAGCCACCTTCTTTCTTGGCCCTTGTCACCGCCCCTCCCTCCCTGCAGCCACAGCAAACCAGCAGGGTACCTACCCGTCTCCCACCACGACACACTTGATGGCTTGCATGTCTCTGGACCCGTGGTGGAGGACAGCACCCCAGGGCAAAGGATAGTCACGCCAAGGCAAACAGTGGGGAAAGACGGGCAAATTTGTGTATCAGCCCTTGTGCTGCAGTGAGCGGCAGGTTGCAGGGAGGGAGGAAGTGTGACGGGGAACTC